TTTACAAATAACTTACAGACAAGGTAAGACAAACAAAGTGTCTGTTGAAGAGCTGTGGTATGCAAAACATTTGGTGGACTCTGCATTCCATCCAGATACTGGTGAGCGAATGAATTTCATGGGTCGTATGTCCTTCCAGGTACCTGGTGGAATGGCAATAACAGGGGCCATGTTGCAGTGGTACAGGTCAGTAAAATGCTTTTAGTCATGTAGGAGGCCATCACATTCAAATCTGCACCATCATTGCCTCTCTATCCCCCCCTCCATCACACAAGAGAAGCCTCTGGAATGACAAACCTACTTTTGCCATGCCCTATCCATATACTCAGAATAGGTTCTTGCCATACCCTCATCTTTACCTGCAAGTCCAAACTTCAATAGAACTTTTTGAGCAGAAACATTTTACATAAAAAAAAGAAAACTGTTTGAGGTCCTTTTACATTATTATCAAAATTTATGATTTTTGACAGGACTGTCCCTGCTGTTGTGTTCTGGCAGTGGATCAATCAATCATTCAATGCCTTAGTAAACTACACAAATAGGAATGCTAAATCAACAGTCACAGGAAAGTAAGTGGATGTGTTAATTGGTAAATAATGACATCCTATTTATCAAGCTCAGTATCAATACATGTATTATTCACTCTCCATGTTCTCTATACATTTCCTTTGGTCCTGGCAAGGAGAATTTGAAAGCCTCTTAAAGTGTGAATCATTTCCTTCACTCTCGTGATCTTGATTAAAAAATTCAGCTGTATTATTGTAAGGGGAATTTTGATGCTGGTCACTCTAAAGGTTTAATTAAAAGGTTAAAAATTTCATTCTGAGGTTCTGTGGCTCATTGTTTTTCATTTGTTCCTCGTGGTGATTTAAATTTATTTGGATAGTGTACCTTTCAGATTAGTTTATTTGGATTTGTTTCTCACAGTCTGAGATAATTAAATGTAAAACTGTTTTGTCAGAAAAAAAGTGCATAAGACAAATTGTGAAAGATAATCTGGGTTTCCAGTAATCAATGAATATTGATATGTGGAACAAGTAAATATGGACAAAGGGATTAATGAATAGGGGATATATAACTACATGCATGTGAATAGGAGAGGAACAAAACAATGGAATAGTACGATGTAAACATTTTTTCTGTAGGTCACTTCAAATTCGTTCATGTTGAGTTTACATTGTTTTTGTCATTGTTAGGGTCAGTTCATTCTTCTTTTTGTTTTCATCAAGTTTAGAATAATTTGAAAGTCAGTCTTGTGAACACAATAAATTTATCAAAACTGCTGTGTCCAGGCCTTTTCCTTATGGTGATGTTTCCTCAAATTTTCCCAAAACCCTGAGGTCATGCAAGGAAACAAGACCTGAAAACTACCCACAGTACTTTTTGGGGTTGTCCCATGCACTTTTGTTTTTCTGACAACCTTTTTGCAAACAGCTGTAAAGACAATATACAAACTCTACCCGTAGTTTGATGGGTTTTTATTCATCAATTTGAATTAATAAACTTGTCCACTAGTCCTTTAAAAAGCTTTTCTGCTTTTAAAGACAGATTGGTATTGCCTATGTATCAGCAACATCAAGTGCTGTGGCTGTATCTGTAGGACTCAATTCTCTTGTAAAAGTAAGGGAAATGAAATGCAACATTTAACTTAAAAGTCAATATTCTAGTGAGAAATTATAATGATACCGCTTTGACCACTGATTGATTGAAACCAATTTATTGATTGACTGGATATGTTTTAGAAACAGTCCAGGTATTTTCTTTAGCCTTCTAGTTCACTAAGAAAAGAAAACTGGACTATCATAATTATTCATTTCCATAATGTTTGTTGTGTAGCCTATCACATGAGTTACAAATCAGATCTATAAATCATACTGGATACTGTCTATTTACTGTACTTGTTCCAAATACCATTTTGCCTCCTGCTGTGGTAGATAATTGACCTGCTTGCCACTTACAAATCACCATAATTGCTATTTTCATTAAACTCATACAGTTACTGCTTATTATTTATTGGTCACCAAAGAGACTAAATGTAAATATTTAGATGATATTTTCAGTCATTGCTGACTAATACATACTGGTTGTTATCCAGTCAGCCCCTCCTCTCCTTGCCCGATGGGTTCCCTTCACAGCAGTTGCTGCTGCCAATTGTGTAAACATTCCTCTAACAAGGCAAAGGTAAGCAACAACCAAATCATGCAAGGAAGTCTTTAAAACAGTTAATAGCTAATATATACCATGGTAAAAAGTTATCTTGAGGATGGTGCCAGCCTGTCAAATATGAAACTTAAATGCTCAAATCTCCAGGGTAGGTTTGTGGCTGTGCTGTAGAAACATCTGGTCCACTCTTCGTACAACTTGCAGTTGCAGGTTTTTCATTAATAAGGGACATTCCATATTTTCAGTTTAGTTCCATTAGAAAAAAACAATAAGTGTTATTTTGATTCATAGATTGATAAGTAATAATTGTATTACACAATGTCAGTGTGCCAGAATGTTCAAATTTTCTGCTCCATCATATCTCAATTTTATTTGCAGAGAAATTTTAGATGGTATTTTAGTATTTGATGAAAACAACAACCCAATAGGAAAGTCAAAGAAGGCTGCTGTGAAAGGAATAACACAAGTTGTCATCTCCAGAATTACAATGGCTGCACCTGGAATGAGTGAGTTTCATTTGTGTTATTTACAGTCAATGTGACAAACATTGATTTATGATTTTATTCAGGAGAATCTCTATGTCAGTTAAAGGGTAAGCCCATATATACCCTTCAACCTTGAGCTTGTAAGTTTTCTCAGAGTCTCATATATGCTGGAATGAAATGATGAGAAATTTCTCATTGAGCCTAATTTCCTCAAAAAAGCCCTATAAAGCCTGGAAATTTGTTGAAAGTTTCTGGATAAATAGAACAATACTGTATACCTTTGTTCTTGATGTGTGGCATAAATTTCTGCACAGAAAATATTTTTTGAGATATTCTGCCACATGTGATCAATGTAATGCTCAACAAGCTATTACAAATAAATGCACTTCTGAACCATCTTAACCAGAAACTAATTTTAAATATCAAGTAATATTACTCACCACTTGTTTTTTCTGTTTTGTTTCTTTTTTTACATGTATATTTTAATTATTAAGTTATTATACCGGTGCTGATGGAAAAAATTGAAAAATACCACTTTATGCAGGTTTGTGAATTAATTTTTAACTCCATTGAAATTATCAATGTCTCCAATGATTATAAGATTTCTATTTAATACCTGGTTGCTAAGGAACCTTAACTTAGTCTGGTGCTGAATAAACTCTGACAATTCATCAAGGATACAATTTGAGGGCAGGAGATTGATAATTTACAAAGGCTCCTCATAATTCAAAAATGTTGTGCCAGAGTAATTTTAAATGCAGGCACTGAAAGATCAGTCGGCCTTTTTAAGAGATTAGGTTGGATTCCCATTAGTGACATAATAGAGCAAAGGAAATTGTGTATTATGCATAACATTATCCATGAGAAATGTCCTGATTACTTTAATCATTATATTTGTTATGTTAAAAAGAGACATCCTTACACAACTCAGGTGTCAACTGATATGGACTTATCCACACCTTTCTTTAGCACTATGACCGGCAAATGTTCATTCCTTGCAAGTGGCACTAGATTATGGCACAACCTAGACAGTGCCACTAGGGGTCTCACTTCCCTTTGTAAATTTAAAAATCAACTATATAAGAAAAATATAGATCGGAACTCCAGAGTTGACAATTTTACCATAAGCAGAAATTTTTAATTAATTTTTAATTTTTAACTGTATTTTTACTTCGTATTTTTGCTATTTGAATTTGAAGTTTTAGTGGACCACAATGAGAACTACTGGTTCTACCTGTAATTGTGTTATCCAAATAAGTCATTATTATTATTATTATTATTATTATTATTAAAAGTAAAGGGAAGAAATCTTTCCCCCTTGCCCATCCTTTGTAACTCTCTCCCAGATTGCTGCTAATTTTCTCTCTGCTATTAATTTTTTTTTGCTTGACTCCACGGTCTAAGGTTTTAGTGTCTAGTATGAAATAGAGGTGGATAGAGAGTCTTGTATATCCATATTATCTTCTAGTTTGGTAATTATGTTTTATTGCAAGCTAATCTACAGTAGCGTTCCAGATTTCTAGGTTTTCTTTGTTTGTCTCCCCATTATAACTTGCTCATTAGCCATGTTCTTTAGGCTAGGAGGTTCCTTGTATGGGAATTTGGGATTTTTCTTAGAAGATAAAAACTATCACCATCAAACCACAATGCCTTATCAACATTCCAATACTTTGCTCTAAAGAGAAGTATACACCAGTTTGTTTGTTTTTGGTTTTTTTTTATGACTTGTACACCATTTGAAAGTAGAAAAGAATGATGACACTAACAGTGTATGAAATTTCTTTTAAAGCTAACAGATCTGAAATCAGATTTAACACTAACCCTGGGTTATCTTAACCCAGTTATGAACAACAGGGCCCTGGCCTTTTGCCTGTTACTTAAAAAAGTCTCACTTGATCCTCTTTCAATCTCTTGGTGACCTGCTTAGGCACTTAGAAGCTATACGAAAGACATTCAGAACTCAAATATTGACTATTTTTTGCTGTAATCAATGGAGAGCATGTGAGCATGTGCCTGTGCCTGTGAACTGCATATGCATGTGTGGCTAGGTTACTGAGTTGTTTTCAGAATATCAACATCCTAAGTTGAATTATAAGCACACTTGTAGACAATTTACAAATGGGTAACATGGTTAGAATTAAGGTAATTATTATTAATAATTATACTATTAATTTTCTTAAGGGGGTGAAATGAAAATTTAACATGTGGTTTCTGGAGCATTGTGTTCTGTTGACAGAGCCTGCTCCTATTTATCTGTTCATATGTGATACTGATTAGAACTGCATGAAGATCTGATGAATTAAATTCCCAAGGTTTTTCAGAAATATTCTACTCTTCAAAGGGATGCTTGAAAAAATTTTGTTTGAAGTGCTGATAAAAATTTGAGTTTCATTTTAGCTTTCTGTTCTGAATTTTTCTTGTTTAACAGCGTATCAAGCCTATGCATGGTCCTATTCAGATGTTGCTGTGTGGTGTGAGGTGATCAATCTTTCTATAGATCATTTCAGATTGTTTCTAATCTGAAGTGATACTGTGATTTATTTTTTAACTTAGTAGTACACCTCAAAACTGTTTTCACTACTAAATTATTTTAGACAAAGCTTTCTTTTGGATGGGTCACAAAGAATTCTCTAATCAGTGCCCCATGGGCTTATCACAGCAATGATTTTACAAAGTTGATTAATGTTATGACAGCTACAGAAGAGGAATACAGGAGATTCTGCAGTTTATTTTAAGTCTTGTTGGGTCACACCTCACCTTTCTAGGCTTTTATCATCAATTAATCTCATCTCACCAAAAGTTCTCTCTGTCAATACTGAGAAAAAAAACAGATTGCTAGTAGTCTCAATATTTACAAGTGTGAAAAGCCAATGGGCAAATCATGACATTGAAATAGTATAATTGAAGAATGGAACACATTGGAAAACATTGGCTCTTTTCATCAGAATGTAGTTAGAATCCATGCTAATTTCTTTTTCTAGGATTTTCATGTTTCACATGGAGTTATTGGGTTCTTACAGAAACTTGAATTCTTGAGAAAAGTTTGGAAGTTGAGTAAAAGTATCGAAAAAAGTATAAAAAAAAGAGATTTCAATAAGTCTTAAGAAGTGAAAAGAATCTATTAGGTGTGTTCCTTAGCTGCTTAATCACTGTACCACGGTCTTTACAGTACCACCCTGGATTATTCAATGCAAACCTTTTCTTTAATTCACTTTAAATGGATTAATTAAATTCATGTTTCTACATTTTTCAGTTTGTGCTTCATGGTACCAGCTGCCTGTTCACTATTCCCACAGAGGTGGTAAGTATACAAACATGACATCATAGCCACATGTAATTGTTAGGTCCACATTAATGTTTAACATCACACTGGAAATAGAGGTGTTAAGAAAGTCTAATTTGATGTACTGTAGAACTATTGTCAGTCAGGTATTAATGGTGTATGTGGAAAGCATGCCATTTTTATGGTATGTTTATGTGAGGTTTTCCTCTTTTATCATATAGAATACTGGTGCACTTGTATTTTATGTGGTCTATTCTTGTAAATTATCTTTAATTTTCAAATTCTCTTTAATTCTTGTCTCAGTTCCATGCCAGTAGAAAAGCTAGAAGTGGAGTTGCAGGAAGTGATAAGGAAGCGTGAAGGACCAGCTATAAAAACAGTCTTCTTCAACAAGGGACTTTAATTTTTCAATGTTTTCCTAGAGCTGCCTAAAATAAGAAATGTTATTCCAATGCAATTATTAATAAATAAACACTAGTCCAACTTATAGTTCTTAGGGTCATTCAAATATCTTGTTATTTCTGGCAAAATGACTGGCACTAACAATTTCTTTAAGTGGCAAATTACATTATGGTGGGGGCTGCTATTGTGTTGTCAAAGCTGTAACAAAATGATAGGGTCTGGTGGCAAAAGTGAGTGGTGGGTCAATGTAATTGTATTTTTATATGAAGTAGAATTACCTAATTAACACCCATTTAAACCCTTTACATCCTAACATCAGTATACACATTCTCCATTCAGTTCTCCATACATTTGATGAGGTACTAATAAGGAGAATTGGATTAAAAGTCAAGAGCTTCTTTAGTTGGTGATCCTTCCCTTTTTTCTCATGACATTAATGTATGATTCAGGGGTTATAATGTAAGGAGAAATTAGATGCCAGTCACTATGAGGGGTCAAAGTTTTCAGTTTTTGGCAGAGACTTGTGACAACAATTTCATTCATGCTTATCAGCCCACTATTTAAAAATCTATGTATCTAGAATAGCTTCTTCATTTAATTACTTTTACTTACCATCAAACCATGCAACCTTCTAAGTTCTTTTCTTCAAATAATTTTGGCATGTTTCATGTATTATATGATTTTTTACCAACATGATGACTGCAAATGATGTTTCATTGTGTGGGAATAAACTGTAAGAAATGGATTTGTCCCATTTTCTTGTACTTGCTTGAGTGCTGAGAGAAGTGGTGTTGGAGTGCATAATTACCCAGTGGCCAAAAACACCTGATTTTTAAAGCCATATCCAGAGCTAAGGAAAGATGTGTCATCGGATAGTACTCTCCCAAACCCCTCTTTGCTCTAATGTGGGATACTGTACCTTTGACAAAGGTGTCAAAATGATGAGAGGACATAGTACACTGGCATTTTATCAAGGAAGAGAAGAAATACTCAGTCCTCTCATACATCCAGTGGCTGGATGTTTGTCAGCAGTTATACGTTTCTTTACTATGTAAACTTTACATCCTACTTGGCTAGTTTTCTCTCGAAGTTTCCCTTTACAGTACTAGGATTGAAATGTATTTTCAGGCTAGAATAACATGATGGTTATAGAATCAGACCTGATCTACTTGACACTCAAGTCTATTTAAAGAGATAACCCCAACCCCCACCTCTATCAACCCCCTTCTGAATAAACCAGGTGATAGCTGAAATTTGATTTTTAAAAACTTGGCACTTTCTAAGACTAAATAGTCTCCATGCTTATAAAGGACTGAATAACTTGCCTGTATTATTTATGTCTACTGAGTCAAAAATACCTACAAGAAACATCACACCATTTTAACAAAACACTCCATATTTATTGTGTAAGAGTTACATAAAGCCTAGTCAAGTGCTAATTTACATGATTCTCTAGGGACAAGAAAGAGATTACCACTGAAAGTATTTCACCCAAGAATTAATAAGATGAAAGATCAAAAGCTGTTATCTAACAAGAAAGGACACTCCAATTCAAGGACACTCAGAATTCAAGAAAGCACACTCCAACCAACAGAATTCAATCCAGATAACCACCTAGTATGAGTAAAATGAACTGTGTTACATTGTAACTTAACTGTCTTGCAGGTTCATACAAAGTGTGATCCAAATCGAAATAACAGAATATTTTCCTTTCACAACTTATGGAGCATGATCCAAATGGAAATAATACATTCTCATAACTATAAAGGACTTTCAAGAGATTCTTTGATAGTTTACACCTGCATGACCAGTATTTGTTTAAATATAACTTAAGGCTAAATTTTTCCAAAGGGTTATGCCCATTAATTAATATATAAAACCCTAAGAATATAGAAGAGATGAAATTAAAACACCCTCTAAAAACTTCTAGTGCATAATTGCTAAAATATGTTTCATCACCCAAATATATTACATGCTGATGCAGCAAGAAGCCTTGTTACAGCTGTAAAGTTGTGAATTTCTATCCTTTTCAGAAGGGTATATTTCCAACCCAAAAAATAGATGAGGTGACAGAAATGACTTAAACATTAATATTCTGTTTTAAAAGTCATGACCAATAATAACATTTTAAAAAATTGTTAGCACTTGCAAAAGAAGTTTAAACTGCTACTAAGTGCAAATTTGGAAGTTAACAATTTTATTACATAACTTTAGTCCTACAAGTAACAAATAAATTATAACCCATTTGCTAACTCACACACAACCCTGCAATGAAAGACACCCACAACAAATTAATGACGTGTATTTCAAAGTAATAATTGCATGTGAACCCATTCATGTCTACACATGATGTCACTACCAACAGTGCTTAACACTTCTCCAGTCTAATGCTGTCATTAGCTGACATATCTTATTGAAGCAGTCACTCACACAGTTTCTATGACTGAAACAGACCCCCACTAAGCCCTGAACTTGACACACAGTTACACATGCAGACAAATCTATTCCCAACTGACTTTTTCTGATCTATACCGCGCTAAGCACATTCCACTCTTACTAGCTAATCACAAGAAATTGATCAATACCAAGTAATCATAAAAATGAGTGATTGCATCATTAAAATCAGTAGAAGAATTTCTCATTGTTTAGTATTAGTTGGCAATGTGTGGCACAAGTATTATACTTACACCAGAAAAACATGCCTCTGTTAGCATTCTACAAGTTACTTGGTACCTAATCATGTAAAATCTACAAGCTCACACTCTTCATGAATCAAATGTTTGACCAATCCCAATCAAAGTTAAAAAATTCCCACGATATCGGTGGTTTGGAAATTACTATCAGTTAATGAAAAAAAAAAATCTTGTGCATCTATTTGTAGTTGATGATCATCAGTTATCATTGATTACATTTAAATATTCAGTGCTTTGCTTCTATTGATTTTTCTGTTGATAGGAAATCATTACCTGGTATATATATATTTAATGAAACTATTTCTAACATCCAAAGTTAAACAGATAATTACAAAAATTAAAATTTAGATCAAGGACAACAATCATCAAATTATAGCCTCTCCCTAAATTTGATTACTTGAACATTTGATGAAGAGCACTAACTCCATTGGAAACAACAAAACTTTTCATGGAGCAAACTAACTCTCAAGGTAGATAGAATATCATATCAGAAAACCACTTTCACTTAAACTGATGTTGATAGATTGTCAATAACTATTACCCACAAATATTGGCTACCTGACCCTTAAGTTGTTGCTATCACTAAGAAACAATGACACCAAAATTTCCAGCTGTCCACATTACAAAGTGTTGCATTTAAGTCAGCCAAATAATTATGGCTACAGCAAGGGCTAGAGAACAGTGCAGATTCAAACCCACAGAGGTGGTGAGAATGCATCTGAGAAGCAAACTACAATGACTATAAATTTGAATTAAGTAATGCCACACTGTTGCAAGCTTAAGGTCCCAACCATGTTACATTCTTGCAGAAATAATAGGATGCTTCATCATAAGGCATCTACTTGAACCATACGCCGTCCCACATAAACTCTGAAAAATAAAACATGCCGAAAAAATCAAGCAAAGTTTTTGCTTTATATTTGTTCACTTTTCCACAATTGTTTACCTATAGTGATTAAGATCATAAAGCCCCTGGTAGATAGTATTAAACTTCACTGTGAGGTGCGGAGAGTGGGGAGTGCATGGGCTTCATTAAGAGTAAAAACAGGGAGGGAGGGCATCTGGAGTTATCACTTGGGCATACTTTATGGAGGGCTTAAGGAGCCTTGCCCCCCAAGGTGGTCCAAAGGTGTGCTCTCCCTGGAAATTTGGAAATTCTTTAGTTACAGAAATGGAATTTCCTTAATTTTAAGAAAAACTAGGAAGCCTCGTCTGCCAAAAAGTTACTATTATTTTACATACAAAAATCTCCAACATAATTGATATGATGTATTTTAATAGCGAAGGCAAAGTACGCAAATTCAAACATGCACTCTTGAAGGGCTCAGATCTTTTCTCAACAACTTTATTCTAACCTTAATATCCTTAACATAACCTTACCCGATTCCAAATGCAATCAGATGAGATAATAAAACAGCAGGTACAACAACATAGAAATTAATGTTCATTAATTCTGCGCTGTGGAAAGAAAACATAACACTAGAATTATTTTATCTTAATTAATCAATTCATTATAGACAAATTTCATATTGATTTGTCATCCACTACCAAGCAGAGTCTGTCAAGAAATATACAATATTATTCAAAAGAACAACTTGGTTTAACAATATACCGTAATTCCCGGTCGTTTACCCGCACGGCTGATTACCCGCACTGGCCGATTATTGCAAACGGTGAAAGAAAAAGTCAACAGATTACCCGCACTGGTGGATAACCCGCACGTTATGTTATTCAACTTTTTGGTGGCGAAAACGTGACATTAAGGTGATACATTTCAGTCTTTTAAAAGTTGTCTGATCCAACTTTCGAAAACTTGAAAGCGTCTTTGTCGAGTTTAAAGGTCAAAGAAATTCAGACGCGTGCACAATTCTGTGTCAATATTAGCATGTACTTTATTGATAAGATTATACAGTAAAAACACTAGCGGACCATGCCCAAATCTCAACGTTTCATAATTGACAGAATGCGAATTTGTGGTCACATTTTGTGCGAGCGATCATTCGGCGACATATTGATTTGTTGAAAAAAAGCTGGGTGAGTATTAGAACTTGAATTATAAAGTACTGTCGGCGATTTCTGAAAAAAATCGATATCTCCGGTTCTATTGGGCTTAACAATTCCCTTAAAACGGGAAAATTCTCTTTAGCTCACGCTAGTGTTAAATGGAAATTTGTTACTGATGCGCCGGATATCTTTGGATTATTTTTGTCACCATCAAGGTTTTGTTTTCACGTGTGCCGATAGCAATTTGTTCGTCGCACAACTAATTATGCATGAAATAAACTCGAGTCGGCATCATGTTTTCGTGCCGCTTTGCGGCACTCTTAATACAATAAAATTCATTTGAGAGGTGGAAATGCATGTTGGTGATAATTTTTTTCAATTCAACTACCACTAGACTTTAAAATTGTCACATAACCCGCACCTCCCTATTACCCGCAGTGGCGCGCGTTTAATGCAAAATCAACAGATTACCCGCGGGTTAACGACCAGAAATTATGGTACATACTTATTGCCTTAAAAAGTAATGTACAGTCTGTCACTATAGTAGAAAAATATTTGATCCCCCAATAAATTATAAGGGGGAATAGGAATAGCTAGGAATTTCGTCGAATTTCGTCAATAGGTGTTTGCATTACTTTTGCATAATACTGTTGTCTCTTCTGTTATTGCATGAGAAGCCACCGCATTTTTGTATTTTATCTAAATGAATAACCACACCCATTTTTCTAGGTCTATAGTTAAGTTGGCATGTATATATTAACTAACGCATGGTTAAGAGGCCAAAAAAGCATTTTTTACTCTGTCTTCCTAGATTTTCCCCTCTTACAAAAAGCCAATTCTTGACTACCATAACAATTTTCTCTAAAAACAGCAGCTGATGACAGAGGTACTTAATGTGGCTCAGCCATATTTTCTGAATTAAAAGTCAAATGGTTTGTTACCTTCTCATGACTTTAGTGCCTCTGATACTCAATTTTGCCCTACGTGGCTTCGATTTACATCTGGGATGTTGCATCTTCCATTCCCTTATTTAATCAAACAAACCAACAGATTATGCAGGCATAACACAGACACAGGAACAGTCAGAAATGAATCCTACGTACCATGGAAACTCACCAATTTGGGTATCACTTATTCCTAAAGTTTTTTATCATCAGCTTTGTATGTGATTGTTTAAAGAGTTCACAAGTGTTATAATAGAATTGATCCATGCTTTTCGCAGTGCACATATTGAGGTATGACACACTGGAAGTTTGATGAGCACTCAAGAAGCAAGAATTGCACTTTCCCACTTATCAAGTAACTCTTGTGCTTCTCTCAAACCCTCAAAACTTCTTACATTCATTTATGCCTCAACAAAGCACATTAAGTTTGAACTAATTCCTCAGTTTTTATCTTCCTGACTGTCAAAGTTTCCAAAGAACCAGTTACCACTCCTCATATGGATTGTGAATTCAATCTCTGATTATACTAACAGACACCTACTTCTGTGGTTGCACTTCAATTCTGCTTGACCACTCCCAAATCCAATCTGTGTTTTGCTCTTGTGGAAGGATTGGATCACCCTATGATCAATTAACATGAATATTTTTTTTACTGGCTGTTAAACTGTTAGTATAACATCAGTTCAAGGATTTATATGTGATTCGTCCTTCAATAAAGATCGAGGCTTAGAAAAAAAGTGATCATCATAAAAACAGTAATATCTAACACCTCTCTAGGTAGCACAATCTTATTAGTCTATATGGGTTCAATTGCTTTATGGCCTCGTAATACAAAAAAGGTTTTTGGACGAAGCTTCTATTTCATTACAATGCGGAAAATCTGACGGTATTGTCAAAAATGCCTTACATACTGTGTCAAAATTATATCTTATTTCGTCCAAAGTGATTTTTCTCCTGTAAATCCAAATAATGACTGACATCGCGTTTAGAATTTTAAACACAGGTACATGTTTATGTGACACGAACGTGAGGAATGGTACAGACCTCTCATGTGAATCTTTATCGCGACTACATTGCTAAGGTCCAAAATAATCATAGCGATTGAAACCAAATTCACCCCCGTTTAGTAATACCACTTTAAACGTCTTAAATAAACTCAGTCAATCTTTCCCTAGAACAAAAAGTGGTTTTGTAACGATGATCACAAGCTCAAAATCAATATGTGAATGAGCTGAAGATCAGTAATATCGTGCAAACATGCATGAGACGACAACAATTCCACGTACCGTCCGTAGGTTCCCTTGAGGACATTGCTCCCTTGGTGAACCAGACGGGCTTTTTTCGCCACTAAAAAAGTTAAGTAAAAAAATAACAGTTATCATAACCTTGCCTAAGGCAAACATGCTTAAGGTTAACAACCTCTACGTCAAACGAACTATGTGCCGATGAGATGATGCCCATCTCTCTGTAAAAAGTAGAACATTCAGATCCTGCACCTTGAGCTTTGTTTCGACAATTGTTCCTGTACCGCTTCAGCAAGAAGATCTTCCATCGCCCCATCTTCCGAAATAACTGGAGAATGCTGAGCTCCATTGCCATTTCTAAACGAGCCATCGAGCTTTACCCAAGAGCCTTTAAAATATAGACAGTCAAGATTAGGAACGCCGATATATGATGTCGATGTTATGACGCAGTCCTAACTTGCGTTCGTTAAAACGCATTATACGTTGAGAATCCTTACCATTCAAAGACTCAGTGGAGCTATGACTGCCACCATTGACATTATTTGCCATAGTTTTTAACTCATAGAATAAACCTGTAAATGCAACAACAAATACGACCGAAAAAGCCACAGGAATCTTCCCCAAGACGACCTTAAACTCTGCCTTTGTTTTGATGGCTAACCTGAAACTGTTCGGTCTATATTTACATTCTCTTCGATTCGCCAATGAAAAGGCCCATTTATTGTCACATGACTAAAGCCGGCGCAACAGCAATCGGAAGTAGACTTCCATGGGTACGTCATGTATGGGAAATTATTATATGTGAAGTATAGGACATAATATACATGATATGTTCAGAGAAATGCGCGCGCCATGATTGGTCAGAACGAGTTCTTTATATTTCCATAAAGCACGCATCTTACATCACATGAGCGCACTGTTGAGATATAATGCACGTAGCCTACGTCATCGGTACGAACGCGCTCAATTCACGATACATTTTATAAAAGAAATAAGAATACTTGTTCCTCGAGCATTGTTGAGTTATATAAGCACTTAGGAATTTTTGGGAACTCTTTGGTATCTTGAAAAGTTTGGTGAAATTCCGTTGTTAATCAGTATCCTTTTCTAATGAAATTACTTAGAATTTAACGAAGAGTAGTAGAGATCGAAAATGATGACGGTTCATGTAGGAGGTGAGATGGCAATTTCACAGGATTTTCACGGGAGGGATGAGAGGATTTCGCGTTCCTATGTAATAGCACCCCCCACCCCTTCACCCCCTCTTCTCCATCAAGCGTCACGAAAGTTACTATACATTGAAGTAGTGAATTCATCCATTAATGCTACATGCCATCTACACGCATTTTATTTTCCTTAAAGTGTGAATATTTGCACCCCAATCGAAGTGCAGGCAGATTTGGATACCATTTTCGCCGTAAGTCTAAGCTACTGAACGCTAAACTGTATGTTTACTTGTTGTCATGCAAGGACGAAGCATAAGACGTGAACTCAGTCCACAAGAATGTGTTTAAACACTCTTAAGTAAAATTCTTTGATGGTGTGCGAAGAGACCGAAACGGTAACTCCAGATTCCCAGGGGAAAGCATTTCTGCAAACTGAAAATGAATAAAAGTCAATCGTGGAAGGATATTGCACCTGAAGGTGAGAAAGTGGCTGATCTAGGGCGAACAAGTTCGCAGCCACCGCATACACCACAAGCCACGACAAATGAGCACAGTTTTGCTGCGGTAAATTCATCTTCAAAGTCAAGCATGGATGAAATGCGACGAAGGATTGTTCAACTTAACAAGGAATTGGAACAAGAGAGAACCCTTGTAAAAAATCTGAGAAGAGACAAGGTATTGGAGGTCAGACAAGCACGAGACGAAGAACAGCGAAAAGCGATCGCCATGCAAACCGAATTAAGGTCGAAACTTCACAAAGAAAAGGTAAATGAGCTAACGGCTTTGAAAGAACAAGTTCGTAAAGAAAAAGAGAAGGAAATATTGCTGATAATAAGACAAAAGGATGAGATTTTAAGAACTGCTCAACAAGCTTGGGCAAAGGAGAAAGACGAACTTAAATCGAAGATTCGTAATGAACTTCGTGGCGAAACGCGGGAAGACAGCAAACGTGAATTTGAAAAGGAACGCTGTAGAATGGAGCAGGAAATTGCAGATCTCTATCGACAGAAACGTGACTTGGAAGAAACACTTAAGCTTGTTCAGGATGCTGATAAAAGAAAAATAGAAGATATTCGAAGAATACACCACGAACATGAAGCAGAACTAGATAAATTCAAGAGAAATTCATGGCAAGAGAGCAGACAGCAGGTAAGTTATTGCCAAAGTTCAATTTATATTTATAATTGCCTCCCTTTAAATTTATATTGTGAGATTTCCGGGCTTGAATTCTTTGTTTTGCTGAATGATGCCGACACTTAAGACATCAATGACCCCCATATTTTGGATTGTGAGTTCCGCTTGTAACTGTTTCGTTAACTAGACTAAAAGGATAATGTTCCGCTTGACATCGTTTGTTTACACGTGAAGATAATTCAAGCTTGTGTCCCGTTGCTGTTTTATCCAGCTTAGAGTTTATTTGAGGAAGTGATTTTTAATTGCTTGTATGATATATTGTGAGTATAAATTATTCAAATCCTGTTTTTAAAATAGACAGAGATAAGGTGTTTTAAATTTATTTGAATTTTGAGCTAATTCAAACACACCTGACAGGAATTAAGTAAAAACTATTAACTGAGTCGCTATCTTCATTTCTTCAAAGGTTAGAGATTTTTTTTATATTTTTTCCCAACAAATAATTTTCCATCATGTCATGAATTCAAATACATGAAACTGTGTTACACGCATTTTGAAGGAGAGCAGAGAAGTGTTCGATTTCAAAACAGATATCACTTTACATGTACGTTTCATGGATGCTGTTATCCAGTTTTGTTTTGTTTTTATTTTCCTTTTAATTTTAGACATAGGGTAAAGTCTTTTGATTATTTCATAAATAGTAAGTAAGTATTGTGTTTTTGTATCAATGGTAAATATACCAAGAAAAAAACTAAACTTCAGGAAAGAAAATGGGAGTGTTCCATTTCTGAGCACTCTTGATATGGTTTTGTATGGGCATATCAAGGGTATAAATTCATGGTAAGTGTCATTGATTAGTCCAGGAGCTATGAATAACTGGTTGCATGAATGGGTAAATAGCCATATAATCTTAGCTTGCTATTCACACATTGCTTCCACTCAAAGAGCTCAAACATGAGTCATCATCATGCTAAAACAACATACATATAAATTTGTTATAGTGTAAGGTTAGCTGGAATGGACTGACACTGCACCCCAGATGAGACATTGACTCATCAGAACTTGGACAACCAAATATCTGAGAAGTAATCTGACATCAGATATTAACTATCTTGCAGATGGCAGAAATTCGTCAGTTGCTTAACATAATTGAACAACTTGAAAAGAAGCTTGGATTAGAAGCTGGGCATTCCATGAGACTTAGACTGGAAAAGGACAACTTAAATGACTTGTTAAAAAAATCCACAACATTTGATACTTGGGACAGAATGATGTCAAGTGGGAAAAGTGAGCAGGCAACCCCTCCAGGAACTCCTGTATGTATCTCTTGTTCCTTTACTTTTTCCTTTTTCCTTTTTATGTTTTTGAAGGCTATTTATTTATTGGCCCCAAACCCATTAACTAGTTTTTGTTCAAGAAATGATTAAATTTCTCTGAAAATGGATCTAACAGGTACAGCTGGAACATTTGACCCTTGTCTCTTGATTAACAACTTGCACAGCATGCAGTTTTGTGTCATGAAATATAAGCGTTCACAATCAAAATTTTGTATGATAAAAAAATCTGGGCACAAGTTAGTTATTCACAACAAGCCTGTCCTTCAATATACTCAAGAATCATTAAGCAAGCTTCATCAAATTTCTATGTTTGTCAGTGAATTTTACATTTATCTTTTGTCTTGAAAGTTTTAAAAGACAGACATTGTTCAGTTATTTTTACCTGACTTGGAATGCGTGACTCCTGTGCATTAATTTTACCAATGAGTGAAATTGAGGGAGGTTTTCCTGCAGTCTGGACAGTGTCATTGGTTAAATTCATATATAAATAAAACATGAACTTTAGAGAATTGTTTGTTCAAGAAAGGAAACCACAAAATTTCATCATTAATTCATTTTAATATATGCAAACAAAAAGCATTTGCTTGGAGCTATCTGGGGTGACTGTAAATGTTATCTGACGATATTTATAATTGTGGTAACAGAAGTCTTAAAAAATGGTACAGAATATCCTAGATTTTTTTAATTAGAACACTCTGTTGTTTGTCAAAAAAATATCAAATGTGTATAGCTGAAGTCTTTCTATTGACTCACAAATTGAAATGTTAATGTTAACTTGCATGCTCACCCTACACCACTTATAACTTTATCCTTAGGATTCTAAAGGCAGCAGTCAAGAATTTAGAATGCTGCAAAGAAAGAATGTGGAACTTAGTTCTTTGGTTCGCAAACTGGATGAAAAAAATCAACAACTGGCTACTAGAAATGCTGAATTGGTAAGCTTTAAACACCAGTCAAATTATGACTTGTCATGTGTGAACAACCTGCTTCTAGATCTGTCAACATCTATTCTTTCTAGATTCTGAACTTTTCCTCCATAGAAAAATGGCTCACTATGCTAATTAAATAGTATATAGTAAATCTGAAGAAATTATTGTAAGTTAGTGGGTACACATACATTTGTTAGCTTCTTCATGTTATGAAAACATTAACAAAACAGTGCAAGAATTATAATAAGGTTTGATAAAGAGTAAGACATAAATTGACTTTCTGTAGTTACAAGATTGACTCACATCAATGTTATAAAATATTGTTATCCCAAGGAAATTGCTTACTATAGAATTATAATTTATTTGGTTACATTCTATTTATTTTTGCAATAGAGGTATTAAGATTCATGTTTCAAATACATGTAATTCTTGGGATTATGATTTTTTTAGGAATGTATCAAAGGAAATAATAGCATTACTGTGTAATAAGATGCTCTGACATGAAGAGATCAGCCAATTATGGTTGAAATCCAAACCATTTTTGAGTAAATTTTTGAGATCTTTTTGAATTCACATAGTGTGCCACAAGAAAGGCTAGATATGATTGACTTTGTCTAAATTTGCAAATGATGTGATGGTGTCCTTCTTGGAGACAAATCAAGATCTATAGCTCACAATATGCTTGATGCCAAATACTATCAAATAATATTTGATATTAAAAGGATTAAATGTTATGCCAAACTTAATTTTCAGAATAGGGTTCCTGATAGAACAGAGTAAAAACTATCCAGAAATTTTCCTTCCGTTCTTTTAGTGTAGTATTTAATTGACTATGACTTAACAAAATGAAGGGCTTGTCCAAGGTGGTGCTCTCACTGTATTTTCCAAAGGAGCCATTAGCATTCAGCTGGTATTTATCTGGCAACTACAAATATAAAACCACTGAACCAAACTACTAAAGCCAAATTATCTTTTTATACCCTCCTCCTCCTCCTCCTCCTCCTCCTCCTCCTCCTCTCTTCCCCCCCCCCCCAATCAACCAATGCAGCACCACAGTTTCTTTGTATCCTTACAACTTCTATTACAATTAACATGATCACCTAGAACTCACTGATCCAAATGCTGGAAGCAAGCATTTAATCATTAATTGCTTAATTGTGTGAGATAACATGATCAGCTAATTTTGGTTTGATGACCTCAGTAACACAACTGCTTGGCACAGTTAAGTTTCTCATGCAAGATGTCAAGAATTTCTTGATATTAGTAAGATTTACAAACAGTTGTCAAAAGGTAATTAAATATTTTCTCAATGAAGGTACAGTAGTCTTCTAAATATGAATTTATCACTGCTTAATATCTGTACATTGTTAGCTGGCTGAGTTGGAGAAACTTGAAAAGGACAATCGAGAAAAAAACAGAAAGCTTGAAAGGAAGAATACAGATTTAGCACAAACAAACAAGAGGCTTGAAAGTCGGAACAAACTGTTACTTGATGAAGTTAACTCTTGGGTAAGTTGTTTATATCAAGAGTGAAATACAGTCTATGTTCCATTTGCTCAGTTAAAAGTTGAATTAATTAAGTTCAAATATATGTGACATAAATTCACTTTTACTTATCAAAATTATAGTCTATTAACTCCTCAGAACTGATTTTTAATTGTCCCTTCTAGCTGCTACACATTTCTTTGTAAATTAGTTGTTAGAATTTGGTGTTAGAACAAGTTAAAAATTTCTACCTGACAAGTTTGAGTATTCTCATTACCTGTCTATTGATAGTGTAAGGATATTTTAAGAAGTTTCATGTTAGTCACTTGTGGGAGTTAAAAGAAAGCATACTTAGTGACAAGTTCAGTGGTAATTTAAGGAATCATTGACAGAATTAGTATCATTTATGCTGCATTGTTGTGGTGAGTAGAGAAGTATAACCAAGTTCTAATGGGTCACTATTTATAGTCTCGAAAGTTTGTATACTTTAGCAATATATTATTTTTTATGACCCTTTAATTGTGTCATTTGACTTGAAAACCTGATTCTTTCCTTATTCATTATCATGCCACAGAAAAAGACTTTAACCAAAAAGAAGGAGAATACTGTAAAACGAAGGGGACCTGCAAATAAAGAGGTAAATGAGGCTTTAATGTGCATGCATTACTTATACACACTGCAGTCACTGTGGTACTATGTTTCCAGTACATAAATAACTTTTAGTCTGAGATGTACTTGTAGACATTTTAACCATGTGAAAGTTAAACATTATGCATTTATAAAATTGGTAATGGAAACTGGCGTCTACATTAGACAACTGTGCATAATACTATGGCAAAAATGAAAATGTTAAAACATCATTTGCATGTTCTCAGAGATGTGGGATGAGTGTGGCAAAGGGCTCATATGTAACACATGATTAAGGCCAAGATTATTACTTGATGTGTGAATTTTGCCTGACCCATGAATATTTTTTTTCATTTACATTTCCCTGAAACCTTGTTCGAAAGTAGCAAGATTTGAAATTTTTCCTTTTATAAGCAGGATGCTTGAAGTTTGGGAACTTTTAACGCATTTAAAGCAAATTCAGTTTTTGCATTGTGTAGTGCTAACAGAGTTGACAGTATTACCCACTTGTAATTACATGTACCAATGACTTGACAAGAGCAAGAAGCTGACAAAGCAGCAAAATGAGTGCGCATGCAAGTAACACATGATAAGTGATATGTATGCAGAGGAATGGGAACAGCAACATAGTGTTACTGTAACACTATAAGGCAAAATGGCAGCATGTTTAAAAATTCCCTTGATTGTTTGTTTTCATTTTACGGGGAGAAGCTTAAACCTAAACAGATAAGGTTGCCGTTTTCAAGAGAGTTTCCGAGGAACCTCCTCCATCACATATCTCACTCATCAAAAAAAGATCTTGCAGTGACAGGTGCAAATTTAGCAACTTAAGTAGAACATCCATAACATGGCTATAAAGTTTGCAGCACCTGTTATCCCTTTAGCGCTTCTTGATGTCTTGCCTCTTTATTGGGCAAAACCCCCAGAGAAAAAAATTTCTTTTCTTGGCAGAAAAACCAGCATCAGTTTGTTTGCAGAGGAAGAATAGTAGCCCTGAACAATCAAATGGCTCAAATAGCAGAGCATGCAGTGTACTCATTTTGCTGCTGTGTGTAAGCAGCCCATATGCATCTTGCATAACAAACAGTTTCATTCAGGAAAAATAAGATCTAACTTGAGTTTACTTTCTAATGGATGAAAACAACTTGTGCAGATAGAGGTACATTTGATTCAATGATTACAATTGGTATTTCCATCAAAAGGATGAGCTTGGTGAGTTAAAGGCCCAAGTAAGAGAGCAGACAAGAACTATTGCAGACCTGAAGCAAAGCATGATGGAAAAAGACCGAAGGATTGAGCTCCTAAGAGGCAGAAAGAAAAAAAGCAAGCAGCAACCAGTAAGTCTATCATAAGAAATCAAACAGGTTATACACATTAAGCTGTTAGGTTTATGAAACTTCAGGTAAAATGGTGACCATTGCACTCAACAAGTCAATTCTTTTCAGGTTAGCCTCATGTCACAACCCACAGATCTTTTCCCAGTGGCTGATGACGATGCCTTATCAGTTCATTCTGACTTTAGTGAAGCTTCAGAAATGGTTAGTGCAGTGTTGTGTAGAAATAGTTTTTTTTTTTCCTGAATTAAATGTCTCCCTGTACTTGTCATTTTCTGTAACTTGTTATCCATAATTATTTTTCTCGCAATTGTTTTTATTGTACTGTTGACAAATTTAATGAGGCAATGTAAATATTATTCCTACTGGGCAATAAGGTGTGAAATGACGATATAACATTGGGTGATTTACATAAAAATAACTGTTGGACAGAACTCAAACGTTTTAATGTATTGATAGCAGACCAAGGTAATGCATGTGTGCTATTATCATTTTGATAATTGTGTTTTTTACAACTTAATTCCTCAAGTATCTGTGTGCTGGTTCAGGGTTGAATACCTGTCAAGAAAACAATTTTCTAGCACAAGATAAAACATTCCTTTGTCTCTAAAACATATCTGCAAAGTTGAACCTAACCAATATATGTAATTATGTTATTACTTGTACTAGTAATAAGGTGCTCTGTAAAAATAATTTATTTTGAAAATATCATGCAAAAGAGAATCTTAAAATATTAGTTGAGTTATGGTTATTTTCCACATTCTGTGCCTATAACACCTACACACATGCTCACACATGTAAGACATATCTACATTTGTTTCTTGTCAATCCATCCAATGAATTCAATGCAATTCCATTTGATTTTGTTGCAGCTGTTATGACATTGTAAGTGAGTTTCACAGCACCAAACAAAATTTATAGACGAGTAGCTCTCTTAATTTTGATTGTAGATCATTTGAAATATTATGCAATTATACAATTTTTATCAATCCTAAAACCTTCATATGGATCAGAAAACTGCATCATATGGCTCAAATCATACCCATATTTAAGCTATGAACTTAAAGGGCTTTGTTTGGTATAGACCTTTCTCAGTTCAATACCATTATGCAACTTGTACTTTTTATTGAAGTGATCTTGAGGTGGCATTTTTTTCCTGAGTTCCTAGTTAACTGCTTTTAAATACAAAATAAAATGATTAATATTTTTCTCAATTGTTTTCAGTCATCTAGTGAAGATGTTGACAGCAAAAGAATAAAAAAGCTTGCAAAAGAGCTTTTAGCTTTAGAGCGAGCTTATGCCCTTCTCCAAGCTCAAGTAAGCAGTGCAGTGGATGTTGAAAGGGATGAGATGGTATGTTTATTTGGTTCAGGTATCACATTTTACACTTTTTTAAGTATGGCTCCTCATTATAATAGAACAATTAATGTTTCAAAGTCTCTTATTTTTTTGAGAACTTCCCTTTTTTTGCATGATTGTAAAACTTATAAGCTATACTTGGCTTTGAAGCCCTTCTGCAATACTCCATAATCTTAGTAGTGAAGTAAATTTAAAATTCTGTAGCTGTAATTATCATAACCAGACAGATCCCAAAGATATGTTTAACATTATCAATATTTAAGATTTCAAGTATCTCCTACCAAAACAGTGTTCGTTTTTTATACAGGCAAAACAACAGCTCCAGTCAGACTTGCTTGAAAGTCAAACAAGAATTCATGAACTCGAGAGAATGATAGACAGTGGACAGGTGAAGTACCATGCTTTCTGATTGTGATATGTGTATAACGGAGTGCTGTTGCTCGACCTTAAACTCAGTTTTGTGTGAAGACACTAGTGACATGTCCGTTGGAGATCAGGGCCAGGTTGTTTTAAGCTGAAGATAACCCAGTGTTCGTGTGAAATTTGATTTCAGATCTGAGAGTTTTAAAAAAATTTTTTAGTTCAATTTTTTTGTCAACAATTTGATTTTTGGATGCTCTAAAAAGAATAGAGAAAATTACCCGGAAAAAGACTCTTGAATAGAGAAATAAAGTAACCTGGATTAAAATTTGACCCTGGCTTAGCGCTAATCGGCCTTCGAACAACTGGGCCCACGTTGTTGCTGCATAACAACTTTTTTAACAGGTAGCAGATTACGTTGTATGACAATAATAATGATAGTTATCATTTTTAATGTAACAGCAAGGCTTTACATAATCAAGGGTAGTAGTTACATAGATTTTGTCATATTCACCTACATTAGAATTTGTTTATAGGGTTCTGGATTACAAGAAATATCCAATCTTCAAGAAGATAACAAGGCTTTGTATCAAAAGGTATCGTTAGTCAACTTTACATTAGTATTTTTGTGGTACCTGGATTTATTTTGCTGTTGTTGATATAAATGTTCTTGACTTGCCGACATCACGCGACATGTACGATCTTTCGACAAATTAAACAATATTTCTATTGAACACATTCCTGATTTAGTTCTTTTGTCCTATGTTATAGCTGGTGGCAGCAGAACAAGCTCGAGATAAGGCACAAAGTGAGCTGGATAAATACTCCGAGGTAATTAAAAGGACGTTAATTACAGCCTCAATTCAGCTCTAGTGTTTGTCTTAAATCTCAGTGTTATTGCATATATATTGTTTTGTTATTTCCAAGACTTAGAATGTGCTAAATACTTTGTGTATATCCAGGACATGCGAGAGTTACAGGATCAAAGAGATCTGCTGGAATTCGAACTGGAAGAAATGTCGCAGTTATCTGTAAGATTTTAAATATGAAGTCTTGTATATTACTAAACTAAGAAGTGCTTCTTAAATGAAACGAGAGTAAGAGAGACCTAAGCTTTGTGCTAGAATTTGCTTGCTAATGGCGATGCTGAATATTTTTTCTTCTCGGGGTGTCATCCTGATTTTCTGATCATTTCTTAAGTTTAAGAAAACTTGAAAGATAGGAAGCAAATGTAAGAAATGCACTCTATTACAAAAAGCTTGCCTTGGTGTTGTTTTTACAATGTTTCGGTGGCGATTGGCTAAAATTACAGAAAGAAAGAAGAGTTTTGTGGTATGATAAGTGGAGGTTTTTGGGAGGAAACGTCTGTAAAAATGACTGTGCAGGAAGAGAGACTTTAGTATGATTTACCACTCTAACAACTTTTTAGACTGCAGGGTCAGAGGACTGGGATTCAAGAAAATCCAGAAATGGCCTTGAGTCATTTTCATCGCCAAGAATGCTGGTCAGTCACTTTGGACATCTTCATGTTCATCTAACAGCGTAGTGTTCCCATACTCAGTTACAAAATTTGCATTCGGCTATAAATTTAGAGAGTTTGTTATTGTTTTCTGTCACTTACTGATATGATTTTCCTTGACGTAGAGTAATGATGCTGCTGTTCTTACGTTGGAGGACATTAAAGCCCTTCTTGAGGAACTGGGATCGGAAAAGGTATATTCGAGCCAAAGAATTACGGTTAGATCGCAGAACGGCTAGATCGCTCCATCAAATAAGTGACTTCGCTCCCAACATAACTTACTTCGCTCCATGTAGAAAACTAAGGTAAAGGTAGCAAAACTAAGGTATCTAAATTGATAGTCCATTAAATGACGTGCATATCTTACCTAACAATCGATTAATATCGCTCGCGCGCGCTTGAAATAAGTCCGAGCTACGCAGAGAGAACAATTAAAGCCTCATGTAAGGGACTCACGAAGTGTAATCTACTTTATTAATTAATGATGGCGGATATCAGTTTCCTGCAGCATTGGTATTTGAATGATCTTTTTCAATACACTTCAGACTATAACATCATAATTTATTCCATGATCATTCATTCCATCATTGATATACAAACATACATCGGTAGCTCGGTGGCTAATCTGAAGGACAGAGTGAGGACGATGTACTCGAATTATCGCAAGCCACATCATCACCTATAAACTTTTAAGATCATTGGTAAGAAATACCTCACATTTCAACATGGAGCGAAGTAACTTATGTTAGAAGCGAAGTGACTTATTTGATGGAGCGATCTAGCTTTCGAGTGGAGCGATCTAACTTTTGGTTAGAGCCATCTAACTGGGTGCGATCTAACCGGATACCGAGCCAAACGTGAGCTGGTATCCATTGTGAATATCGCAACTGCTCGAGACGTACATTAGAAGGCAATCAACTATGTATATTTGTTGGCTTTCGTTGCTTAATTTTGCGACACCTTCTTGTAAATAATTGCATCGCAACTTTTCAAACCATACCAAAATTACAACTTTTTGGCCGCATACTAAGTGTAAAAGCTATAGAGAAATTTATCGTGACACTTCGAACAGGTTTCATCCAAAAAATTGCACTTAAAGTAACTTCAGTGTGCCAATAGATATTTATTTGTTGGTATGGCCTTCTTTTGCCTGGACTCGTTTATATTTTGGATCAGCACTTTTACTGACTGCACGTGCAACTGTACTTGGCTGATGAATTGGATTATTTTTAGGAAGATGTTTTGTCCCCAGTACAAAAAAGTGCTCTTAAACAAGCCAGAATCATGCTGGAATCAATGGATGAGGTATGAATTTTCTCTCGCCTACTCTTTTCTTCTTCCACAAAGGTATCGACGAACCACAAGGCAATAGGAATAACTTGGAAAATTCACTCTTAGCTTTAAGGTGCTCATAATCCTGAATATAAAGCTGCTATAATGCGTGTTTCATCCTCTATGAATTAGAAAATCCATCACATGGAGATTACTGAGATGGCATTGAGAGACAAAGTCCGGGACTTGGACTTGGGCGTAAGTTTATTACGTCTTTTTTTTTCTCCATAAATAATAAGAGTTACAATTGTATCTTTTTTTTCTGCGTCTTGGCAATACATTCGATTTGGTCCGGTTGTTTGGCTTCCTCGCCATTTTCAGTCCAGTTACGAATGTGCAGAATATGTTAACATAAGAAAATTTGAAACAGTTTTGGTGCCTTTAAGTTTAGTGTTAGGCTTATGTCTGTGCATCGATTACGAAGCACGAAATTTTATGGTAACAAGACTCCGCCATCACTTCCGGCAATTCTACTTTTCGATAAAACCTGGCTCCAGAAACTGCAAAACTCCATGAAAAATTTCCTTTTTGATTTTTTATTTACACAAAAAAAAACGAAAAATATGATGCCGTTTTTGCCGTTTTTCTCGCCTTAATGAAAACAAGTGCCTTTTTTCGGTTGAGGTGGAGTATTTTAAGCATTCCTCTCTGGTGCTGCTGAAGTCAATTTTCTCAAGTTTCTTCCGCTCCTTGATCAGTAAGCTATCATTTTTGACAATTTTGTGATATATTTAGTACAACAGTGAGTCCTTGAAGTCTGACCTTGATGAAACCAGAAGCCTTTCATTACTCACCTGTGATCGTGAGACACTTGCAGACTTGCAGTGGACTAAGGTGGATAACATTGAACTCTACCAAGAGCAACGAATGGAAGCAATGAAATATCTAAAGCACGCAAGAGTAGTAACAGAAGACACGTGTTGTATGACAGATTTGACTGGGGATGATTTAGTTAGTCTTGAAAACATAGGCAGGAATTACCCTCACGACTTTCCAGATAGAGGAGAGACAAGTGGAAAGAGTGATAAAGATTGCATGACGGATCTTGCATGGTGGGAGTTAGGAGAAATGGAAGAAACCTATGTTCGTTCATTCGCACATGGAAAATGTAAAGGTGAGGTAGAAACTGTAGATAATGAAACAGACATAAATTGCCAAGATCTTGAGGAATTAGAAAGTAAGAAACAAGAAACAACGGCAGGTAGATCGAGTCGGGAGGATAGTGACACAGTGGCGGAAATAAGTTGGGAAGAACTAGATCAACAGGAAAACGAAAAATCTAATTCTTCTTTACCAAGAGGGGTTAGCGAGAGCAACATGGACATGGGAAGTCATGGACATGAAGTAGGAATTGTTACCGACCTCAGTTTGGCAGAACTTGCCCTCATGGAAATTAAATACTTAGAATGTATCGAAAACCTTCACGAGGTCAAATCAGGTGTAGTTACGGAGAAGGACGAGATGACTGGGTTTTCATCCGTTGAATGGGTGGAAACTTTACCTGAAATTGTGCTGGACACATTTCCAGAAGATCTCGCTTGCACAAAAGATCAGTGCGAGATGACAGAGTTGAAATGCGATGACATAGCAAAGTTGAGTAACAAGTGTATTGACTACAAACATAGTCTTGAAGAACTGGAAAAGAGGATTGCTCTTTTTGACGTTGAGAAAAAAGAGGAGAGTTGTTCTACAGAGTTCACGTGGAGTGATATTGATAGCTTACAAGAAAAATGTTACAGTTATAAGTGTATTATCAGTGAACTTGAAGACAAAATCTCCCTTTTTGAAGTCGAAAAGAAAGAGAAAAGTAGTTCCACAGAGCTTTCTTTGCAAGATCTCGTAAACGCCAGATTCAGTGTCGATACAAAAGAAGTTGAAACTATAACAGATGAAAAAGATTTTTTGGACAACGAAGATTTACCAGAGATCGTATTCGAGACCTATCCAGAGGCGGAGACTAAAGGTGAGTGTGATACAACTCACGGAGTGTGGGAAGAAGTTGTGGACCTTAAGAACACTTACAGAGATTACAGGGAGAACTTGGAAGATATGAAAAACAAACTTGCTCAGTTTCAAGTGGAGAAAGATGACAAAGAGAGCATAACTGATATAGCCATGCAAGATCTTGCTGATCTGGAAAGTTTGTACAAGGAACATTTGCATGATGTGGATTCAGATTCAAATTCCATATTAAGTCATGCTGAAAAAGAGTCGCGGCAATGCATGACAGAACTGACGTTTGTCGAGCTTTCGGAGCTTGAGGATTTTTACATTGAGAATGCTGCTCGTCAGGAGGAAAGTCTACCGATGGTAGAAAAATGGGAGCAAGAGAGCATGACAGACATTACACATGACGTCCTTCAGTACCTTGAGGAAGTAGAAGAGCTTTACAGACAAAAGACGAGAGCTGGTGCAGACGAAGAGGTAAGAAAAGAAGAGAAGTACACTGCGACAGATCTGACAGTTTCGATTCTCGACCATTTGTTAGAAGGGGCAAATGGTCTCCTGGAGTTCAGTACAGAGAAAATGGACAAGATGATCTCGACAGACGTAACCATTCCCGTCCTCGAGCCTCTACATCAAACTGAAAAACTTCACCAGAGGTATCCCAAAGTAGACAAGTGTGTAGCTACAGAGCTAACTTCTGATGATATAGAATATTGGGGGCAAGAAGAGAAATTACACAGGGAACGTTTAAATGGTAGGGAAGAAAACAAAACAATTGCTGACATGGGAATCGAGCAGAGATATGATGTGGAGATTAGTAGTTTGCGAGGAAAAAGCGAAGAACTTGAGAATGAAAAGAATTCAGTGGAAAGGTTAACTGTGGAGACAATGACATATCTTACCGTCTCGGATCTTAAGTGCTATGAAAACGTTGATGCGGTTAATGATGTGTGCTTTGCTGAGAAGCACAGTGTTGAAACCATGACTGATTTCACTCTGTCGGACCTAAAATACTTGGAGGCTGTGAAAGGGCCAAGAAATGAATGTACTCCTGATAGAAATGCGGAACCACAGGCCAACAGATATGGAGCCATAAGTGTCCACAGTTTGACTGCTTCGGATCCACAGCTACTGGAAGGTGTTGAAGCCTCTCATAAGGTATGCCTTGTTGATGGGGAGGACAAATTATATTTCAGAATTGGAGACAAAGAAAGTGTGGGAGTAATGACAGATTTAACTGCGTCCGATTTGAAATACTTAAAAGATGTTGAAGCCGCTCATGAGGCATGTCTTGTTCATAAACAAGAAGAATTAGATGCCAGAATTGTAGACAAAGAAAGCGTGGAAGTAATGACAGACCTAACTGCATCTGATTTGAACTACTTGGAAGATGTTGAAGCAGCGCATGAGGAATGCCTTGCTGATAAGCACGAAGAATTAGACATCAGAACTGTGGACAAAGAAAGCGTTGAAGTAATGACAGACTTAACTGCATCTGATTTGAACTACTTGGAAGATGTTGAAGCAGCTCATGAGGAATGCCTTGCTGATAAGCACGAAGAATTAGACATCAAAACTGTGGACAAAGAAAGCGTTGAAATAATGACAGACTTGACTTCATCTGATTTGAACTACTTGGAAGATGTTGAAGCTGCTCATGAAGAATGCCTTGCTGATAAGCACGAAGAATTAGATGTCAGAATTGTGGACAAAGAAAGCGTGGAAGTAATGACAGACTTAACTGCATCTGATTTGAACTACTTGGAAGATATTAAAGCAGCTCAGGAGGAATACCTTGCTGATAAACACGAAGAATTAGACATCAGAATTGTGGACAAAGAAAGCGTTGAAGTAATGACAGACTTGACTTCATCTGATTTGAA